AAAACCGAGTTACGACAAATAGTGACATCAGGCCTAGAACTCCAGATAGGAAGAAGAGGATGTAATCTCTGAGAATCTAAATATGTATCTTCCAGGTGATGGAAAGCTAATGCATGCTGATCCGATAAATGGGGAGGACTAGGCATGGCAGTACCCTCTTTCAATTGATCAACACTTCTCCAAGCATGCACAGCAATGTCTTGTGAAGGTAGAATGAATAGGTAATCAGCTGAATGACTTTCCCCTAACAAAGGAGAAGAGTCATAAGCCACATGAAATGTTCTAGACATTTCATACTTGATGTACTAGTTGCAAAAACAGTGAAGGATAAGAAATGTCAGACTGAGGTTCATTATTAGCTGTCTGAGCAAAAGAGGGAGCCGGAATAATAAGAGTCCAAATTCTCTCCAGTTGACCCCTAATCCCCTGCAAGCTCAGCCTCTGAGCAAACAGAAGAAAAAACCTCAAACCTCATGTAAGGCTTCATCTCTGCATATGACAGATTGGATGTCCTCCACGGAAAGAGAGCTTCCCACAACACCTGGGCAATGCTAGACTCCAGAGGTGGCAGATTAGGAGCACTAAGATAATTCATATCAGACACATGAATGTGAGAATTCACATCTGAAACATCTCAGAATTATTTTTAAGGAGTGAAATTAAAGAAAATAGATGATAAACTCAAACTCAAGAAGACGGGTTTAAAAAATAGTCCAAAGGGTAGGTATAACTAAATTTATACAACACGTTAGAGGAACCCACAGCAATCACGTAAAACCATCATTGTAATGTTCTGCTATGGAGAAAAGTGAATAGGAAGTAATAATAATAATGAAGAGCTTATATAAAGATCTCTTATAGGGGGCATCTTGACAAAGGTGGAGAGAATCACAAGATTTAAATTGCCATGGGCAATATATTGGGGTATAAACTCTAGAGCAAGTGAGGTAAGATTCATACCAATGCTTAGATGAGCAAAGAAGAGAAACTTTCATCAGAATAAATCTAAAGTGTATTTCAGAGGTAAGTGTGTTTCAGAATTAGTATTTCAGATTATTATTGTTTTCAATTATTCCAACAATCAATGATTAAATGAATTGTCACAAAAATAATCAATTAATCTAAAATTAGATTTTCCATGTACATAATACTTTTTGATTATTCCAACTATCCAAGTTATCAAAATACTGCCATCATGTTTGTTTGTTTTTAAGCACAAAGCTAAATAATGGGGAAAGAGCATTGAAGGTCTTGGGTTCAATTCCAATTGCCACTAAATTTGCTTGCTATTGTTGTTATTCCAAAGCTACTATAAATATCTGCCACTGCCATTAACTTTGAACTGCTCACTACAAGTAAGGCAACTGGTTAGTAGCACCCACTAACAACTCTCTGGCTATTTAAGCTTTAAATAAAAGTGTAAATTTATTAGGTTTTTTTTTACATTGTGTTATGATTTTAATTTTCATAACTGTGTAGCTGTATTCTTTAATATTGTACAAGCAAATGCAGATCTAAGGAAGAAGTACAGACCCCATCCACATTTTCTAGAAATTAATAACTATTATTCAATGTTCATGATATTAGAAAACATGTATGTTCAAGAAGTCCTGATAGAAATGAATAAAAACATTATAACTCGAGCACTTTCAAAAGGTGAACCTTTCTTCTTCAGGAGCTCCTGAAGAAGAAAGGTCCTTTTTAAATTTGTTTTCTTCAAAGTTATTATTGCCTAGGACAACTGCAGCTCTTATAACATAAACTTGTTACAGAATAAATGTTTCACTGCTTGAAAGTTAGAATAGTCACAAGTAAGATGTTTTTTGATTGTTGATGTCCAAAATAAGCAAAAAAAAAAAAAAGAGTGCTATGACTTTATATAAATTTTTAGGAACAAGTATCCTGTTTACAAATGCTAAAATATGAATTTATATGTTTACTTTATAATTTGTTTCAAAATACAATTATAATAATTTAATTTTGCTTATAATATTTGAGACACTTGTCTTTAACTGTTATTATTTCATATTTATCACATTACTAGAAATAAAGATATAAGGTTTGAAATTGCTAAAATATAATCCAACTGAGCTAATCATAATGACTTGTAGCCTATCTGATTAATTTCATTATTAAAGTTAACATTTTCATTACCTGAAAATATATTTCTGATAAACTAACCTCTCAGCACTCAGTAGCTATTTCTTGTAGACTTGCACCTGCCATTGAGATTTTGAGCATGCCAATAGCCTTGAACGATCTTCCATCTAAATCACGTGTTTTGAAATGAACTGCACTAGTCCATGATGTAATCATTATGCAGCAATAGCCCTTTATTAATAGGAAGACACATCCTTCATGTGCAGTAGATCTCCATAAACCCTTGGACTTAAAATTAACTTTATTCTTAGACAAGGCAAGAAAAATATGCACCAGTAGTGAGGAGGAAGGGTGGGAAGGTGTGAAGAGAGGTAAGTATCTATCAGAAATACATTTTCAGATGAAGAAAATGTTAACTTCCAAAACAATCCACTTACTTCTCTGTACAACAAAGTTAGAATCCGATACTGGTGTGGTTGAGAGGCCAGTGTAAAAAAGAATTGGCAAGATCAGAAGGGGAAAGCCCATGGAATGTGACACTCATGAGGGGCAACACTTGTGGAAGGCCATATCCTTCTCAGGTAGGGTATACTCTATGCCCAGATGCGAGTATTAAAAAAGGAAGGCAAAAATGAGCCAATGTGTTGCAGGGATGTGTAGAAAATTTACACTACCAACTAAGCATTTGTACACAACAGATCGGATGGACATGAGATGTAGTCTGGCTAGGGTAATAATCAAACTGTATGGTTTGGTATATGTTTTGTTGTGCAATTGACTACTCCTATATACAGGAATAGAGACTAAAATACCTTCCTGCCTCCTGAGAAGAACACTTTGCTCTATCCAGCTGGCCAAAAACATCAGGAAATTGGCAAATAATATATAATGGATGACCTGTAATATATTGAAATGGACACCCCTGCTCTACTTCTCACTGTATGTGCTGCTTACTCGAACTCTCTCTGGAGGGAGTGCACAACTGGTTAAACTTTTCAATTCAACCACCCCAGTGGCTAGTAACCAGGAATGGCAAGGGTCTTCTGTGCTGTACTCAAAGACTGGAGAGGATTCATGTTGAGGAAACTCAGGAGAGGTGTCCATACTCAATCAAACCTCAAACTTCAAAGGTGTTTTACTGGGGAAGAGTGCAATAGATTACCACAATACTTATTTTGAAAAGCTGGTATGTGCAAACCAGGAAAGTGGGCAGGCACTTCCTTGATGGTGGAATTTTTCATGATAGTCCATGAAAAGTACAACCTGGAATGGACATAGAGAAGCATATATACCACCATTGTGGTCCTGCAGAAAATCCATCTCAATAGTGAGCACATAAGAACCAGGGTGGATGGTTTTTCACACTTTATATTACCCCTGACTCATTGCAGATTTAAGGAATTAAGTATACCCTGAGAGTCAATACCAGTCACTGGGTGGGTTCCAAGGTGGAGATGAGACATTTTAAAAAGTGGATAAAGAAATAAATGAGGTGCTTACTCCTCTAAAATTAGTCAGTAGACCAAAGAATGGCAAATGAGGGAGAGCTCAAGCCTAGGTGGAGATGAAACCACCAGATGATGGTGTGTTGGGCACTGTCTACCTCTCTGGCCATAAGATCTTGTCCAATGTGGAATTAAGTACAGGAGGAATATCATGCATAAATATTGGAATGGCAACAGCCTCAAGCCAGACGAAGGAAGAGACCTTCCAGAAAAAGTGAGAAACAACTAGCTAGGGGTTCAAAAAGGGTCTTAGAGTATAAAGAACCACAATAAGACGAGCCAGATGAGGAAAAAGATGAAAAAAGAAAAGATGGAAAGAAGGCAGAAAAGCAGGGGAAAAAATGAAAAAAGGCAAAAGGTGGCTGAAAAAGCTACATGATATCCTGCCATGGTGTAGACCAATAATCTCTGTTCAAACAGTCTGGTAAAGAAGTTCAAGCGATGGGCAACAGAAGGGCAGTTCAGAGATAGAGAGTGCCTGATGGACTAGTGGTGATAAAAATGCCACTTCTTTTAGGTTCCTGAGAGAGTGAAAGGTTGAATTGAGTAGTAAAAAAGAAGGGCAATGCAATATGGGAAACTGCTCATTGGGAAAGAAATGGATAATACAATATATGAAGATAAAGAGACAAAACTCTTAGATGAAAGAGTAACGTAACAGATTAGAACAAGAAGAACCTTGTTATGGAAGAATAGGAGGTGCTATAAGATGCCCATCAGAGGAGAAAAATGAAGTAAGAAAAAGCTGGCCAATAAAATACTACCAACAGAGCTGAACAAAGAATATCACAGAATATTGTAAAGGCACACGAGAAGGTAGATAGCAGGGAACACTGGCATTTCCTTTCCATAATCATGTAACCTTTTCACAGTCCACCTGAAGGAAGGCTACAGGTAGATAACCTCTGCGGTTGATGAAGAGCTCAATGAAACAAGTGGTACATCACTGCTGGTAGTCTAGATGTAAAAAACAAATATGCACTCTAAATAAGTGGTGTAACTTCAAAGACTCAGGTGGAGTAAGATTTAGGCCTATTGATATCAATATTATCTATTTCAGAAGAAAGTCCTACCTAATCAGCCTGCTCATTATAAAGCGTATCTGAAAAACGATACAGTATTTGAAATGGATTGGACTTATGATAAAAACCTGGCACATAATTTTAATTGTGACGTATAGTTACATTAAACTTAAGTTAAAGCAGGGCTAGGTTAGATTGTAGATGAAAAGTAAATACAGCTAATACTATTATTAAATGTCAAATAATAATATTAAATTAACGTGACCTGGAAGTTGAAGTTTTGAAACTTTAATTTTAAGTTAATGTTTTACTCTTTTAATTTTACTTTTTAGTGTTGTTTTAATTTCATTCTATAATACAGGAAACAAAATACCTTCATCATAATTCATAGAACGAACGTTACGATGACGTGACATTCTTAAATGATAGCAAACACGACAATCAACACAAACATAGAAAAAAGTGTAACATTTCAATCATATTATTAACTATTATTATGTCACCCAAATAAGTTCTCCCATCTTCCATATTGCTAAAATTTGTTGCGTGTTTCGACAGCGGCACCTGCCAATATTAAGGTATACGCTATAATAATAATATCTTTATTTTTTTACGTTCTGAACAGAAATTATAATTATCATTGCTAGTATCATTTGGTTTTAGAAAAAATGTAACACTCAAAAATTATAATATATTTTAACACATTTAGGAAACTAGTAAAGTATTGCCAAAAAAACAGCTGTACACTAATCGCTTTATAAATACCTTTCAAACATCAGGAAGAAAATTTACCCAGAATAAAATTTGAAAAAATCAAAGAAATTATAATGAACTTGTGTATTTGAATATTAGGTATCATAGAAATTACTTTGCATTTACTTCCTATCGTGAAGATATTTTCTGAAAACTAACACCAGATTTTTTTTTTCCTAAGTTCCATTCATTTCTATTATTTTCGAAATATTAGTAAACCGCGGCCGCTCAGAAGCTCACGTAAATGGCTCATAGAACTAAAACAAGATGCCTGAATTAGGCAGTTAGCCCATAGTGCATCTTCAACTTAATAAAACGAACACGTAAATTGTGTAATGATATTCAAGTTATTGAAAACATTCGTGTTATACATATTATATCCAACAGATAGCCAAAAGTGTCCACAATACAGCATTTTTCGGACATGTAATGGAGAGAATAAATCAAACAGGTACAGGAGAAGAGTAACAGACAATCATGAGTGAAAAAATATACAAAATCTGTTTTTCACAGTAAAAGTGTTGTGTTTATTGCCAATTGGTCAGGTTTTTATTGTTTGTACTAAACCTGGCTGCTCAGGTTGGAGAGGATTTCCAAAACGTCGCACGAGACTATTACAGCAAAAATTATATTATACTGTACCTTCAAGTGAGTGGAAGGAACCAAATGCGATATGCTTTAATCCCTGGATTACTTACGAAACCGACTATTCTAAATAATATTAAAGGTAGAGAAATACAGTTCATACTAATTTATACAAGTTTCTTATCACCTCTTGAGAAGAGCTTGCCTTGCCACTGGGAGTGGATACAGAAATGGGACAAAATGATACAAGCTTCTATGATATAGCCGTAAAAGGGTTAATACACGTTTATGACCTTTCAACATCCAGATTACATAAATGTTGAAATACAAGCAGAACACTGTATGAAAGTGTTAAAAACTAATTATGGAGGGGCGAAATTATATTATTTCAACTTCAACACATATAACCCTGACTCTTGTTAATTTATAAAAACTAAACGTTTTATTTTTTAAATACCTATGGTTCTAATGCTTTATTAGGATAAGAAGTTCAGTCTAAAGCAAACATCTACCATAAACCTTTCCCATTCTCAGGCTGAATTTTACGTTTGATTAAAACAAGCTACACATACTAATAACAATTAACAGTCGTGCTATTTTATATGTCTGTGTTTGCATGTGTGTTTGAATAAAAAAAAATTGCATTAAAGAATCAATAGGTGTTTTCCCAATTCAGCTTTAATAAATGCGTATATAAAATTTAAAAATAATATAGTTTTGGAAATTGTGATTTTTCTGTTCTTCTAAGCTAAAATCGTAATTAATATTGTATTTTTAAACATTTAGATGTTATCTAAATTCTAATGGTGTTTTATCTCGATTTATTCAAAATTATATTTTGTATTTGCTTTCATATTTCAATAACTTACAGATCACGTGAAAAGCAAATGAACGTGTTGTATAAAAAAAAAGAGAAAAATCAACCAGTTTCAGCTAAGTGGTTTACCCCCTTTCACTACCAATATTAATTTAACCTCTTAAGTTAAAAGAAGGTAGAAACGAATCTGTTGTTACTGCACTCTCTAGCTATTTTACTTTTGAATTATTGCTTGTATGTTTGTCCCTAATTTTGAACTACCGACCAAAGGTAAAGCAACTGGTTGTCAGAAAGCTCTGCTAGTTCTTGGGCTTCTCTTTTACCTACAAATAATGTGATTGATCATCACTTTATAACGTTTCACGGTTGAAAGGGCGAACAAGTTCGACATCAGGTTTCGATCCTAAGACCCGCAGATTGCGAGTCGAGTGCGCAAATCATCAGGTCCTTTACTTATATTTATAAAAAGAACTAGCCTAAAATGTTAACGTTAAAATAATCTACAATGTGTTTCATCATTATATATCAACAAATTTAATATTTACACCATCTAATTTTTACTTGAGTATTTATAATACTGTTTTAAAAATAGAACACTTGTATGACTGTAATGTGTAATGTGAATGAGAGAAAATCATTCCTGTCAGGGATAATCCTGTAATGGAAATTTCGGGATACCTTTCTCGTCAAAGCCTTTTAGGAATATATCTGTTTTTTTTGTTTTTTTTTTTTGTTAATTAAGCACTAAGCTACACAATGGCTATTTGTGCTCTGCTCACCACGGGGTATCGAAACCCTTGTAAGTACGCAGACATGCCGCTGTGCCACTGGGGGGCGAATATATGTGCAACAAAATGTATTCTACACGGTGGCTAAAACATGCTGTTGTAGCATGAATAAACACTGTTTTAGGTTTTTAATACATTATGTATGTATATATATTCGTATAAGTCTATTAATGAATATACGTTTTGTTACTTTTTAATCTAAAATTTTCAGAAATCAAACAATTTCAAACTAAACTTACAACAATTAAATTGTAAATACTCTTTTGTTTTATCGTGAAAAACAGCCCACTAAAAAGCATAGTTATCTCTCAATTTTAGGAGTATAACTTGTTAAGAACTGGCTATTGATTTTTGAAAATTCAAAACATTGAAAGAAATTTAACGATCAATTTGACAAATTAAGAAATTTTAAAAATTTTCTGTCTCACGCGCCTACTTAAGTGACAGTCAGTGGCACAAGAAGAACTATTTGCCTATTTCTTTGTTTTTGTTTTTTTGTTTTGTTTGTCAGAGCTACACAAGGGTTACGTGCAATAGCTACCCTAATTTTGTACTGATAACCAAGAAAAAAGACAGCTGCTCAAAAGCAACGATGGCCAATTCTTGGACAGCTTTTGTCCCACTGAATAGTGGATTTCATAGGCGCTCTTGATGCGTAACAACGTCCTAAATGTACAAAGAGCATTGATGAGAAAACGAAACACGAACTCTCGGTTCCACAGTCTGATTACGCTAAGTATCGAGCCTACCCTGCAGCAAAGAGAACCGTTGAAATAATATGAAAGTGTACAAAACATTTCCTAAAATTAATTCTGGATAATTATAACAAGCTGTATTTGCCTCAGATTATACTAAATTCAATGTATTATTTATTTAGTGTAAGTCACTGTAATAACAACATTCGTGGATAAAAGCTAATTGATTTTTCAAAGCCTTTTACCTTGGCTGTGGTTTCAACGTGAATTTTGATATTTAACTTAAACATTTTCAAAGTCACTCAGATTCAAGACACAAAGTAAAGCTTAATTAACCTTTCAAAGTAAAATTTTGTCATTTAATATCTGCTTTACTTTTCTAACACCCTGAATAATATAATATAATACTTTTACGCTTGAAACTTTGTTGAATGGACGGCAACTGCCTGTTGTACACTGAGTGGTCACAAGTAAATAGACACCTAATTCTTCGACATTTAACTGATTTATGCTAACTAATTTGTGTTCAAAGAGCACAATATAAATGAAAATGGTCCC